GATGGTTCTAATAACATTGTAGCTGATGTATTATCGCGCGTAGAAACAATAGTGTCTCCAACAACAATCGACTACACTGCGTTATCAGAGGCGCAATCTCACGATGAGTACATCAACTCTGGATCAAATGACAATGTTCGCTTGAAGGGTTTTGACATACCTAATTATAATAAACAAGTATATTGTGACGTTTCAACCGAACGTATTCGACCCTACCTGCCTGATGTTTTTCGTCGAATTGCATTCAATAGCGTCCACAATTTAAGTCATCTCGGCATACGCACCACACGTAGGATGGTTAGTCAAAAATTCTTTTGACCCGGTATGAATAGAGACATAGGTCTCTGGGCTAAAACGTGTGTTAAATTTCAACGTAAGAAGGTACAGCACCACACGATATTTCACCTACAGGAGTATCCAGCATGTGGTCAATTCGAGCATATACAGGTAGACCTAGTCGGTCCTCTACCTACTACATCAGAAGGCTTTCGGTATTGTGTGACGACTATAGATAGGTGTACGAAATGGCCTGAAGCATTCCCGGTCAGGGATTAAACTGCAGACACCGTAGCACGTATTGTATATGAGAGTTGAATTAATCGTTTTGGTTGTCCGCATAGGTTGACTAGCGACCAAGGTAGGCAATTCGAGAGCTCGTTGCTTACTCGCCTTATGCACCACATGGGTGTAGACAAAATACGCAGCACTCCATATCACCCACAAAGCAATGGAGCCGTCGAGCGATGGCACCTGTCATTCAAGGTGGCAATCGCTGCTCGCTTGGACTCCACATCGTGGACAGATGAGTTGCCCACCACAATGCTAGGGTTACACGCAGCGATTAAGTTGGACTATGGATTTTGTCCAGCGGAGATGGTATATGGTCACGCGTTCAGATTGCCTGGAGATTTCTTTAAAAATACTAGTAATGATAATCCATGTCCAGAAGCATTAGTTGATAAAATTCGCGATACGATTAAGAAAATTAAACCGCTTCCAAAAAATCATAGTAATTCGCGTTCTATATTTATTCACCCCGACCTTTTGTCGAATGCATATGTTTTCGGAAGACGATGCAATTTCTTTTTAATCTCAAATCTTTTTAATCCACATAAGTACCATAGCGAGTCATTAATACAGGGAACAAGGTTTACGAAACACAAATCAATAATGGACAAGCGAATATCTCTGTAGATCGTCTAAAATCAGCTTATCTATTAGCTGATAATAACGGAGCCAATTCACAGAAAAGCACTTCGTGCTCCATACCGCTAGAGGAACATACAAATGAAGATTCATCTCAGAGAGGTTAAGCAAACCCCAAACCGTCAGACCATGGAACAGTCCAAACCGATAACAGTTTGCGAAAAGTAACTAAAAGTGCTCGAGTAATAAAAAAACCAACACGTTTTATTTTGTTTTAATAAATATCTCTATATACAAAAATAATTGTCTAACATTTTTATAGACATTTTAATTATATACATTTAATTATACCTATACAATTTTTATGAGAAATCATTATATTTTAATCTATTTTTACAAAATTTTACATCTTCACATTTTGTACGCATTACTGATAACTTGATGTATGCTTACAATAAAGTAACATATTTTTGTCAGTACTTTGTATTCCACTTACCGTCTATATACTTACTTAGTCTATGACAATTTTACGCCTACAAGCTACTTACAGTATGGAAGTAAGGTTTGTTAAATAATTGTAATTTCTGTACTAGTTAATCTTTAACAAGGTATCAAGTTTAGTAACTTTGTATTCTAAATGCATTTTAAACTTTTTTTTACAGGATAAGTGTGACAAACGAGCACACAGTCCACCTGATAAAAAACTGCAATAGGTATGAGCGTAATGTAATTTAATTCCAACAGCTGATGTCAAATCTTTATATCAACATATTGTAAACGGAACTTATTACGAATTAACAATTGACTTATTAAATAATTTTACAAACTCAATCATTATAATTTTAGAAGTCTAACGAGATGGGCAAGGTGATTGCCCAAACTGGAAGTACTGTTGGCGAAGTTGATACCCACATGTCTACTCAAAACATGCTATTGGTTGCCATAACAGCCATGTTACTCATAATATTATTTTACTTTTGTTGGAAGCAGCTCAAGTGCCGTATCAAACGATGACTGCGACAACAAATAATGGAAAATACTGCTCTTCCTCACAACATCGTGCTTAGCGGCACGTCGCCGCCGGTCGGTGTGCAGGGGCAGCAGCCCGCACCCGCAATGCACGCCGCCGCGTCCACTATGCAAAGGAGCGTGCTACACCACTGGTGAATAGTGTTGTGTAATAGAGTATCAAAAATACGTAATAAGATTCCGTACTCCATATTGTGTATTCCGTATTTCTTGAAATACAGTTTTAAATTTCAATAATGTTGTGTTAGTTATTAAGAGTATAAAACTTTCTATTTTTTTTTAAATGCTTTTGTAATTTTACGTAAAAAAAAAATTTGATGACAATGATAATAAGTAACCTGTAACAAACTGCACCTGCGCAACCCCCTCGCGGGCAGTCGTCTCTAGCGTCTTGCCGATGCGCCCGTTTGTAATTAGGTGCAGATTTCAGTCATAAATCTAAACGTGTCGGATTCGTAAAATAAACATTGCCGTTAAACCAGTGACTTTTATTTATCGGCCTAATTTGATGCAGGGACGCTCTAATTCACACACTCAGTAAATAGCGACCTGCACAATATCTTAAAACATGGAGCCAATAATGGATTATTTTCTCTATAGTGTTTAATAAAACTGAATAGAGTCAAATATGCGCAGACACTATTCACATATTTTTACAACAAATATCATATATAATATAAGGGAACCTATTTGGGAGAAAAAGAGGAGTAATTAAAAAAAATTGGTTGGCTCGAGGGACCAGGCTACATTCATATAGCGATAAAAACTTGTGACCGTGGCGTTATATTTGTAACCTAACGAGGCTCTAATAAATAAAGATGATAATGAAAGATTGTAGACCTTAGTATACTGACTGCACCTGCGCAAAGTCACACTCGCAGCTAAATTCACAGCCACCATTATTTTTAAAGTGGTAGAGCCATGCTGCATCTGTATTATGATTAGGGTCGGATCGTTTGCATTAAATTCAGAAAATTGGAAAAGAGGAAAAGAAAAAAATATCTAATATTTAAGGGCGACAAACGAGCACACAGTCCACCTATGTAATGTGGTAAGTGGATGCTGTGGCCCCAGAAAACTAGGATAGAATACTTCGTTTCCAGTAAAAAGGTATTCGGTTCTCTACACTCGCCATACAAAACACAGCAGCTTTAAGCTGCTATTTTACGCTGATATTCTGTGAGAGCGTGGTCATTCCCTGGTCGAGCCGACCCATTCAGGCTACAATCATAATATAGCTGCAGAAAGGCTCTACAGCGTGATATATTAATTCGATACAGATAAGAAATAATATTTATTAAAAGCTATTAATTTAAAAAAAAACTATTATATGGGTGAGGCTCACAGAAAATGTACCATCACACACGGGAACTTGTAACGCACAATAACACATTGGACATAGATAACATACTGGAAATATTGTTAAGATTAGTTCACACGATTTTTATATGTGGTAGAGCCATGCTGCAGCTATATTAGTAGTATAGTTGTAGCACAAATGGGTCGGGTCGACCGGGGAAGGACCACGCTCTCACAGAATACCAGCGTAAAATAGCAGCTTAACACTGTTTTATTTCGTATGGTGAGTATAGAGAACCGGAGACCCTTTTTACTGGAAAAGGCATTTCATCTTAGCACTCATGGGTGACAACGCGTCTGCATTTTGATTCTTTATTGAGGATAGGTGTAGATCTCTATGAGTCACAACAACCACTTAACATCAGGTGGACTGTGTTCGTTTGTCCCTATCCTATAAAAAAAACACGAGACTATTTATTATAATGGAATTTCAAATATAATACTTTATAGACCAATTTATTTATTTAAATTCAAAAACTTAACAAACAAAGCTGTATCATAATTTATTGTTTCTTAATTACTAATTATTTAAATAATGAGATAAAATATGTACTTGAAAATGCTTAAAAAAAAATACAATCAAACAAAATATGATTTTCGAGCACATTATATCCTACTCAAATAAACCTAGTCGCTATAAGCAACTAAAAAGCTTAGCGGTTAGCCACCGTAGAGTCTATATCACCTGAGGATGCCTCGTGTAGAGGCGAAACACGTGTCGTATTATCGTCAGTGGTGTGTCTTGCCTAGTGTAGTGGTGTTGGGAGTAGCGATGCTGGGATTAGTGGTGACGGGGATAGTGCACGCAATTGAGGGAGGGCGGGAGGTGCTTCTTCATACTAGGTAAGACACATCATTTTATTCTATAACGCGGATATTTGCGAAGTAAATTTTTGTAAAAGCTTTTATCAACTAAAAAGTATTATTTACACCGTTCAATGTTTTATTTAATAATTTTAATCTGTTTTCCAATGAAATCCTCAGTAATTCTTTCTTGATTTTTTATTATCTGATTTTTTTACGGTTTTATAACTTTTCCCTTCTTCAACGCGAATATATTCTATAAAACCGATGTAGTATTTCCATGAGCCTCTTTGGTAGTACCTTACTAGTACTGTGTCATTGAAACATAGCCTCCATATATCTGATTGAGTTTCCGATGTCACTTCCGAATCATTTATTTAACCGTCAAAGTCTTTTAAATCATTCTGCTGAGCTCTAGCCAACACCGATTCAACCTTTGTTTTTATTACTCCCTCATTTTCATTAGATATAAAACTTATTTCTGCCACTTTCTTCCAAGTGTAATTTTTTTTCATCTCAATAATTTGACTGTTCAGTTTTTTTCTTTCCACTTTATTTGAGTCTGTTTTTTTTTTCTAAAATCTGATATATTGTTCTGCTCTTTCATTTGAAAATATGTGTAATCAAAGTAATCATCGTTATCAGAAATGTGATATTCTTCATCAGAATTTTGTGTTTTCAGTCTTCAGTTTATAAATCCCTCTTCTATATTGATCCCTCTGCTGTTTTAAAATCTGCGCATTTTCTACTAAAAGCACTTCTTCAGGTTTCGATTCTTCTTTGCCTTTCTTCTTTCTCTCATATTCTGCTATTTTCTTTCTATTTCGTTTTCTTCTCTCAGCGTTTTTTCTATTCTGTGTTAATAACTTTTCTGTATTTGTTTCTTTCAACCTTTCTCGGTAGAGTTTCTGTTTTTCCGCAGGTGTTAGTGGCATCTGCAAAAAAATAATGCTAGATAAAACATGCTATGTAACGCGTAGTGGGGGTCAGCTTTACCATATAATAGTTGCGGATAAGCGTTGCATGCAGCTGGCTCAGGATCGCATGTTTTGGGGAAGAACTTGGGGAGGCCTTTTTTATAGGATAAGGGTGACAAGCAAGCACACAGTCCACCTAATGGTAAGTGGTTGCCGTGGCTCATAGAAACCTACATCTAAACTCGTTTGCGAAGAAAAATGCAGATGCGTTGTCATCCTTGAAGACTAAGAAGGAATGCCTTTTTTCCAGTAAAATGGTCTCCGGTTCTCTACACTCGTCAAACGAAACACAGCAGCATTAAGCTTCTTTTTTACGCCGGTATTCTGTGAGAGCGTGGTACTTCCCCGTTCGAGTCGACCCATTCGTACTACAACTATACTATTAATATAGCTATAGCATGGCTCTACCACATATGAAAACAGTGTAATTTATCCAGCAGCGTACATCTCAGACTATTGATAATGTAAATATTCCAATGTGCACTAAGCTTTACACTTTTCACGTGTGTTACGTCACACAAATTCGTAACACACGCAACACACGTGAGCAAACACGCGTGAATACCATGACCTAAAAGTCGTGTAGCAAAATTAAATGCAATACAATACAATACAATACAATACAATAACTTTATTTCAGGCATCAAGGAATGCAAAGCAGTGAAATATTACATTATTTAATAATTTACACATCCCTCTTAATTGGCATTAACCTTAACAAATAAAATGTTATTACTTACCATGCAAAATTTCTTCCGAAAAGTCGCTAAAATCCAATTACGAAAAATAACACACACACGAGTACTGCCTTTTCCAAAAACGAAGATGTCTGTATTGACCACTGACATTCCATATTGAAAGTAGTAATGTTGCCTTCACAAAAAAACCATCATACGTGTTGCTATAACCTTTTAGGAAAAATCTACCATGTAACAAATTGTTCGTAACACACGTGAAACATTATTGGTACATTTGTTTTTTTAATCATAGTTTTGTCATTTTTTGAATAACTTATTATGTCTACCATTGGAATAGTAGTTTTATTCCCATACATTTGAGTAATTACTAAGATGTCACGATAAAAAGCACACACACGGTGAAAATAAAAATAAAAAGATTTTATTTTGGGTGGACACATTTTATTTTTCTATGAAACAAGAAGTAAGCATTTTGTTGTTGTTGCTTATTTTTGGTTAAATTCAAATAAAATAACAATTTAAATGGCCTGATACTAACAAGTGAATAATATCGAACACAGGAAACAGAAACATTTATTTGTTCAGAACTTCCGAAATATTTTTATCTTTAATCAAAATTCGGCTCACGAAAAATATGGATAAGGTACATTTTTTGTGAGCCTCAACCATATAATACCTCTATCGTCGGAAAAACCAGCAAGAATCAAGTATTTTTCTAAATTGTTTACAATTATGTAGGATGTTGTACAATTAATCATACAAATCATTAACAGCTTGGTAGCGATTACCCCATTTCTCCATTAGTATCCATGTCATCACAAATCAACTGCTGAACATAGGCCTCCCCAAAGGAATGCAACAAAGCACAGTCCTAAGCCACATGCATCCATCCACTTCCTGTATGTCTTCATCATCATCATCATTACAACCCTTCACAAGTCCACTGCTGAACATAGGCCTCCCCGAAGGAATGTCGTTACTCCATTTAGTGGAGGGGCGCCCTACACTTCGTCTACCGGTACAAGGCTGGTACTCGAGTACCTACCGTTCCCATCGGTTGTGGGTTCTTCGAGTTATACGGCCGGCCTATTGCCATTTCAGCTTACTAATCCGTTAGGCTATGTCAGTTACTCTGGTTCTACTTCGGATATCCTCATTTTTAAATCTATCATGCAGAGAAACTCTGAGCATAGCCCTCTCCATAGCTCCCTGAGTAACCTTGAGCTTTCTCATAACTTCTCTAAGTTGGGCTTACCTAGTCGGACTATTTGTACCAGGTAAACATACTCGTCAACGACTTTAAGCGTAGTGCTTCCAACAACTACCATAATAGGTGTGACATGAACGTTACACATTATCTTTGTTTTGTCCCATGCTCATCTTAAGACCTATCCGTTGGGAGGCACTATTGAAGTCATTGAGCATAGTGCTTAGGTCCTCCAACGATTCTGCCATAAGGACTATATCGTCGGCAAATCGAAGGTGAGTGATATACTCGCCGTTGATGTTAATACCGTATCCTTTCCAGTCCAGAAGCTTATTATATTTCCAGTCTATCCGTTGGGGGACACTATTGAGATCATTAAGGATAGTGCTCCATGTATTCTTTAATTTTACAATAACCCTTTTTAAACCATTTTTGTTTAATATTTTTGAACGCTAAATTAGATAACATTAGATATGTTCTTATTGAAATTAAAATACAGATAATAAATAATGTTATGAAAAAGTAACTTACTTATGTCTTGTCGCGATTGTTTGTGATAAATTTAACTGCGTAGTAATATAAACCTTTAATTTATTTATTGTTTTTGAGTACTATGACGGAAATCTTAAGCTCGAATATGTCAAAGGTTATAAATAATGATTTGAAGTACACTAAACGACCTTCGCAATTAACAGTTAATCATATGAACACAAAAGGTACACACAAAAAGCATGTTTTCAATAAGGCACCTACGCTTTCAATAACGCTCAGTATAAAAAAAAGGAATATTATGGAAAACAATTTTTTGTGCTATAAAATCTTCATCACAGTAGTGTCGAAATAAAATCCGCAAAAACAATGTTAATAGAATTTTATGTTTTGTGAATAATGACGTTTTTTTTTCTTAATTTTTTACGTATTACACAGGGCATGTTATATTATGTCTGGTTATTGTTTTAGTTTAGTATTAATGTATGGTTCTCTACACTCACCATAAAGACACAGCAGCATTTTTTTATTAGGATAGGGTGACAAACGAGCACACAGTCCACCTAATGGTAAGTGGTTGCTGTGAGCCATAGACATCTACATCTATCCTCGTTTGCGAATCAAAATGCAGGTGCGTTGTCACCCGTAAGGACTAAGATGGAATGCCTCTTTTCCAGTAAAAGGGTCTCCGGTTCTCTACACTCACCATACGAAACACAGCAGTGTTAAGCTGCTATTTTACGCTGGTATTCTGTGAGAGCGTGGACCTCCCCCGGTCGAGCCGATCCATTCGTGCTACAACTATACTACTAATATAGCTGCATCATGGCTCTACCACGTACAAAAGCTACTATTTCAAATGCTCTCGGAAATCTCTGAGGCCTGTTCTGCTTCATCTCTATAATTTCCATTTAAAGTGCCGATTACTACGCAGTGAAGGATAACATCTTTAGGAAACCTGCATGTCTGATAAATAGAATTATTTCGATCGAGAAACTCATAAATGGGAGGAGGCCTGTGCTTTTACTTTTTTTCCAATAGGCGAAATTGTTGGATCGTAGCAGAATCTCTGAGAGGCATATTCTGCTTTGTGTTGATGTCTTTCACCTTTACTTTTTTATTCTACTGCGTAATTCTACTATTGTCAAAATAAAAATAAAAACTTTTTGATATCTTTTTTTCTACATTACATATAGTCTTTGCGCTATAGCATGGTGGGTATGACAGCTCACGCCTATGAAGTTTTGTATTTTTTTAGATAAACTGTCATACAGATATTGTTGTACTTTATGGATGGGTAACGCCCACTTACGAAAGTGATGTTGTACGCTAAACTATGCCTAGCCATAACGAACAACCACAGACTATAAAAAATCGGTTTTGAAATAAATCGATTATATAAAAATCACATAAATATGTATTGGCATTAGAACTAATCGTTTAACAAACTCTTATTTACAGAAAAAAACGCACATAGACGAATATGCAGTGTTTCCGATGCATGGACGATAAGTTATTCGTCGGTCATCATCATCATCATCATCATCATCATTACAGCCCTTCACAAGTCCACTGCTGAACATAGGCCTCCCCCAAGGAATGCCACAAAGCACGGTCCTGAGCCACCTGCATCCATCGACTTCCAGCATGTCTCACCAGGTCGTCACTCCATCTAGTGGGGGGTCGCCCTACACTTCGCCTACCGGTACGAGGCTGCCACTCGTGAACCTTTCTTCCACATCGGTTGTTGGTTCTTCTAGCTATATGACCGGCCCACTGCCACTTCAGCTTACTAATCCGTTGGGCTATATCGGTTACTCTAGTTCTACTGCAGATATCCTCATTTCTAAGTTTATCACGCAGAGACACCTACATAGCTCGCTGTGTGACCTTGAGCTTCCTCATACGGCCAGCAGTGAAGGACCACATCTCAGATCCGTAAGTCATCACTGGCAACACGTACTGGTTATACAATTTCGTTTTCAGGTTTTGAGGTATGTCTAACGAGAAGATATGTCATAGTTTCCCGAACGCTGCCCAGCCGAGTTGAATCCGTCGATTGACCTCTCGGTCGAAGTTTGACTTACCTAGTCGGACTATTTGTCCCAGGTAAACATACTCGTCAACAACTTCGAGCTTAGTGCTCCCAACAACTACCGGCATAGGTGTGAAATGGACGTTAAACATGATCTTTGTTTTGTCCATGTTCATCTTAAGACCTATCCGTTGGGAAACACTATTGAGGTCATTGAGCATAGTGCTTAGATCCTCCAGCGATTCTGCCATAAGGACTATATCGTCGGCAAATCAAGGTGATTGATATACTCGCCATTGATGTTAATACCGTATCCTTTCCAGTCCAGTAGCTTGAAAACGTCTTCCAATGCAGCGGTGAAGAGTTTCGGGGATATAACGTCACCCTGTCTTACACCTCTCTGCAGTTGGATAGGTTTCGTACTCTGATTCTGTACTCGGATAGCCATCGTAGTTCTACTGTACAAACACTTCAGCACTTCGATATACCGACAGTCAACTTGGCACCGCTGAAGGGACTGCAGCACCGCCCAAATTTTGATGGAATCAAAGGCTTTCTCATAGTCCACATACGCAAGATAAAGTGGCAGATTATACTCCTCTGTCTTCTGTACAATCTGCCGCAGGATATGTATTTGGTCCATGGTACTAAAGCCCTTTCGGAAACCGGCTTGTTCGGGAGGCTGGAACTCGTCAAGTCTACGTGTGAGACGATTCGTAATGACTCTCAAAAACAGCACATAGACGCGGCTCAGAAGGGAAATCAGTCTGTAGTTCTTCAAGAGAGCGTTGTCGCCTTTCTTGAAAAACAAGACCACCGTACTTCTGCTCCACGCCTCCGGAGTAGTGCCACCATGGAGGACGGAATTAAAGAGCTTCTGAAGGACTTGAAGTACCGGTTTTCCACCCGCTTTCAAAAACTCCGCTGTAATTCCATCTTCGCTCAGAGACTTGCCGTTTTTAAGGTGCTGGAGAGCCATTCTAATCTCACTCAGACTGACGGCTCGCTCTTGGATCGTTACTCACACTTGCGTGTGACTCTAACGATAACGTGTACAGCTGCCCATAGAACCTCTCAATCTCACTCAAAATCTCAGTTGTCCTGGAAACGATGCCGCCACACTCGGTCTTCAGCTTTGGCAGTTGGCTCTTTCTAGCAGACAGATCTCTGGCAAAGACTTTGGAGCCTTGGTTCCGCTCGATCAATCAAAATACAAGCTGTATTGAAGTTGCGCAAGTCCTTCCGCATGCATTTGGAGATCTGTCTGTTCAGTTGCCCGTATGCTGTCAAATCTGTTGAAGAATGTAGCTTCAT